CAAAAGTCATGGAAAATGGAAGAGGTGTCTGAATACTTGAGGAAAGAGTTTAGTCTTGTTCACATCTTTATTGGTGACCTGGATGAAGGGACAGAATGCACCCTCAGCAAGTTTACTGGAAGGAGTGGCTGACATTCAGTGGCTGAAGAAGGCTGTGCTGCCATTCAAAGTGACCGGACAGGCTGGAAAGTTGGCCAGAGATGAACCTTACAAGTTTCAAGGACAAGTGCAGATCTTACACTTGGGGAGGAATAATCACAGTGCATTGATACAGGTTAGGAAGTGCCTGCTGGGAAAGAGATCAGCAGAGAAATTCCTGGTGGACAGCAGGTTGACCGTGAGCCAGCAGTGTGCTCTTGTGGCCAAGAAGGCCAGTGGCATCCTAGGGTGCATTAAAAACAACATGTCCAGCAGGTTGAGGGAAGTGATCTTCTCCCTTTACTCTGCCCTGGTGAGGCCACATCTGGAGCTCTGTGTCCAATTCTGGGCTTCTCAGCATGAGAAAAACAAGGAACTTGCAGAGGGAGTCCAATGGAAGGCCACAAAGATTATTAAGGGCCTGGAGCTTCTCCCTTATGAGGAAAGGCTGAGAGACCTGGGACTGCTTATCCTGGAAAAGATTGATTGGAGAGACCTTACCAATGCATATATGCATCCACAGGGCAGGAGTCAAGTGGATGGGGCCAGGCTCTTTTCAGTGGTGTTTAGGAACAGTACAAGAAGCAGCGGGTACAAACTAGACCACAGGAAGTTCCTTGCAAACATGAGGAAAAAAAAATACTTTGAGTTTTGATAAAGTACTCAAACAGACTGGAGTTGTGGATTCCTCTTCTCTAGAGATATTCAAAACCCACATGGACGCTTTCCTGTGAAACCTACTGTACGGAACATGCTTTAGCAGAGGGGCTGCACTAGACATTCTCCAGACATTCCTTCCAATCCCTACAATTCTGTGGTTTACCTGAATATGCTCAGAGTAGAGCAAGTTCCCAAATAAGCTAATGGTGAGGAAGGGGAAGCAGAGCTGCAAGCCTTCTTGTCACCCACCTAATATCAGTGCAAGAGCACCATAATTAACTCTGAGTGACACCAGGATCAAGCTATACATAACTCCAGACCTACACGCTCTCATGCATAAGTAATCATTTTCGTAAAAAGAATGTATCAGTAGGGCAATACAAAAGTAACTAGGAGTAGGATTGGATGTATGCACACCTGAAACCATGACAAAAGATTAACAAAGCCCATCATGAGCACCTATTCTCCCACCCCAAACTATTACCACTTCTCTCAAAAATATCAATCACACACACACAAAAAAAAACTATTTTGCTTAATGTGGCTAAAACTAATATGTATGTGTATGTATATTATATAGAGTATGTTTTTTTTCTTTTATGGAAAAAAGTAAATAGTAATGAAGACATCAGCTCTCAGCTGTTATCTTTAAAGTTCTCTCTTTAGGAAGTTAAGATTAGTAGTTTATAAAGAATAAAAGTTTAAAAAGCTTCTAGTTTGATATACCTTAACTGCATACTTTTTTTTTTTTTTTTTTTCCAAATGCTGAAACACTGTTAAACAATTTGACAGAACCTGAAACTATTTGACTTTTCCTTAATTTTTCTGAGAATCTAAGGGTGCCATGTACTTAGCTCACATTTACTAGATTCCTTAAAGTATAGGCTTTTAGTTTCTTACTCCTTTATGAGCTGATACATTCCTCTTCTGACAGATAAGTGGTTAGATTGAAAATACCATAAGAGACATGGGTTTTACTTTTATTTTGAAGTATTAAATGTAAAATCCCATCTAGGCATTAAAAATAAATTACTGGTCCCAACATCATCCTGACAAACTTAATTGATCAAAGAAGTCTGTTTCCTTCATAAAGCTTTCCCAGCGCAAACATCAGGAGACATCACCAAGCAATTGATCTGCAGGACTAGGCCCAAGAACTTAGCACCAACTTCGGGCATAAAGGAAGACTGCTGCCCTGAGAAACAGTCAACATCACCTAACACAGAGCAGTCACAAAACTGTACTGTCTTATTTCCAAATCACATGAAAGTTATTTCTGTCCACGCTACTTACTGAAGTAATGCCATAACTACTCTGTGAAGCACTACAACGCTCCGATTCATGCCCTCAAGGCTCCTGACTATTTCCACTGACTAGACAGGAAACACAGACACCACAAATCTTTATGTGATGCAGTGTATGCTCACAGCATAATGCAAGGAAAGACCTGACATATAAGGCTCAAGTTTTAAGCACAGACTGAAGTAGAAATGAGCAACCTCCTAAAATCCAAGTTGTCATGGTAAGAAAAATCCTTCATCTTAGATTTGGTTATTTCAAGAATAGACAATATATGATAACTTAGCACTTGATAAATTCATGTCACCTAGTCTCGTGTTAACATGTTAAAGCATTGTCTGAAGGCTATCCAAACTCATAGGAGATAGAAAAGTAAAACAACCACCTGATGAAGCATATCCAGTTGATCTGGTCAAGACCCAATGAAGTTCAGCTACAGCTTTCTCCTGAATTTTCCTACAAGTTAAGCTAAATCTTCAAAACCTGAATTTCAGTAATGAATTTCTGTATGCTTAATTCGGGCCCCAGAAAACTGAAATTGTTCTGAATAAAGTAATCTTAGTCTGCTAATAGAACATGTTCAAATCAGTTTGTAGTACAGAAAAAAAATATGAAAATATTTAAATGCTGAGTTTGTATTGTATTTTTCAAAATACTAACCCTATGCACTACCAGTGATGCAGGAAGTGTCCGCTACTTGATACAGTGTTGAACTACTTTTTGCTTGTACTGACACTCACTTCCTAATGGGTGCAAATTTGTATATCCAAAATTTAAAAGAACAATTGACACAGGATTTCACTTTCCACAGTTCAGATTTTAGTATTTTTCATATTTTTTCTGTTTTTTTTTTTTTGTATTTTATAACATTCTAGTTTTTTTTGTTTTGTTTTGTTTTTTTGTTTTGTTTTTCTTCCTCCAGTAAATGCAGTACTGCATGCAGCAATCATAGGAAAAGTGTATTAATGAATATGCTGGCACATCTGGCTACAGTACAAGTCCAACCATTTTTCAAATCCTCAACATTGCCAGCAACTGCCAATCAAGGACTGAGAAAATTAAGTGTTTTCTTGAAGGACTTGATTTGTCTCTGTATACACATTAGCTAGAGTGTTTTTGTTTGGTTAAAAACAGGATAAATTAATTTGTAGTCAATCATCACATTATCCAGATGCACTGTCTTCCAAAACTGTGCCTAAAACATTTTTACAGAAACCTTGGCAATGCCAGCTTACCAGCTGTACACTGAAAAGGAACATTAAGTTACAGAAGAAGAAAAGAGAAGTGAAGAACAAATGCACTATTATTCAGACAGCTTATCTCCTCCAAAAATAGACCTATGGTTACTGCTCTCTAGAATCAGTATTTATTGAATTCCATTCATATTACAGAAGTGCAAGACATCTATTCCATACAGTTCAAGAACTGCACATTTTTGAAAAAAAGTATATCTAAAATTTACACTCTAATCCATTAATAGTACAAATACAAAAAGTATCTGTTGAGGAACCCTTCCAATTTAAGAAGTAAACTTCCAGTATAAATAGCTTAAGTAATAAAAACACATTTAGCTGGGAGGGAACAAAACTTCATACTGAGGATTTTACAGTTAGCTCATTTTCATATCATCCTTACTTTCTAAAAAGTTACACATTCACAAAAGAAAGTGAAATATCTGACTCCACACTTGAAGAAGTGTGGAAGAAAAAAACATAAATATTTATCCTTGAGCCTTCTGTAGCACACACAACTGCATTCTTTTCACGCTTCCCTAACTCAGGGTGTTAAGATCCAGTCTGCATATAGAGGGTACACTCAGAAATGTGAAGATAAATAAAATGGAGATGCAAAATCACTGGTGTGTGAGTTATAACAACCTGTTTCCAAAGCAAACACTCAGGGCTAAAAGATCTCCTACTTTGCATAGCACAGATCCTCAGAGAATTTTTTCACCCAGCAATTCCTTCAGCTGGGGAAGCAATTGCAATAAAGAGACTCGGGCTAACTCTTAAAACAGTGTTTTTGCCCTGCTCAGAAAACGTCTTTGTTTTCCTTTATATTTCTTGCATCTTTAAAAGTAGCAGCCAACTTTTAAAGCTTATTTTTAATGTGAGTCAAGAATGTGCAGAAGGGAAATCAGCATGGCATGGCTACACCTAACAGCAACCCCCAGGTGAAAGGACTCTAAAACACTTTGCTGAAAGAGATCTTCTCTCTTGTAATTTACCAGGTCAATTATCACCAGCCCCAAGAGAGAATCATGTCTCCTAGGGGCAAGAAACTGTAAAATTGCATTTCACAGGGGAGATGGAAAAAAAAAAAAAAAAAAAAAAAAAAAAAAAACAGCTGATCATCACAATTATTCACCCTCAAACTATCCCAGGTATTTATTTCTTGTTCATTCCTTCAGAGCCCACTATACTTGGGAGTCCTTAAGGACTCTTTAAAACCGACAACTATGCTTACAGAAAAATTCAAGAGTTAATAGGTGTTTGGAAATCAGAGATATAGAAAAAAAAATAACAAAATATGACTTTTAAAGTAGCAGCAAGGTTCTGCTTCACTAATCTCTGTTCACCCCTCTTTTGAGAGGAAAGCAGCAGGACACCAAGATCCCTCCTTTAGTCAGATGCTGCAGCTTTGAGTAGCTGAGGTAATGGTAAGAGAACCAGGGTCCCGCATTACCATCTTCCAGTATTTCACAACAGAGAAGGACACAGTCCTGCCTTCACTAATGTCAAACACAAAGAGATACCAGATGATTCCCACCATATGAGTGAGAATTCTTGACTCTTAAAAGGAACGTCATGGGATTGTGGATGCTTTTCAAGCAATGAGAAAATATTTCTGACTCATAGAAGAGAAACAGCCAAGCTGAAAATATATTAAAAGCTTGTACTTACAGAAAGACAGAGAGCTTTTACAAGGGAAGGAATTCACCCAACATAAACTCCTCCAGTTGTCTGACAGAGGACAAAAAGATGTGATAGATGAATGGCCCGTTTCTTTAAATTACTGTAAATATTCCCTTGAACTTCAGGCTCCACCAGCATCGGTGCCACCCAACAGGAGAAAGAAGCCAAACAATCGAAGTTTTACTTTCCATTAGCAAAGCCGGCAGTAACAAAAAACAGGGAAGGCAGCGATGGCGGCTTCCCCGGACTGTAAGGTTTATTCCCTAACACGTTACGCCGAAGAAGACCAGAAGAAACACTTTACATTTTCTATCCGGCGTTCCGTCACCCTTCAGTACTCTGAAAGCCTCACCGAGAGGGAACGACGGGGATGCGCGCGGGTGCGTGTCGGTGCCGGTGAGAAACACCCCGCCGGGCAGAGCAACACCACCCCGCCCGTAGCAGCGCTGCCACTCCCGCACCCGCCCCCCGACCGACGCCGCCGGGCTCCGCGCTCCGGCGCCGTGCGAGATGAGGTACCGGCACGGAGTTAATCGTTAACTCGCAGCCCACTTCCCCACAGCTCCTCTGGCGGACTTCCCAGCCCTAGCAGCTCGGCTGCGGCTCATCTCCCGTACCGCACACGTTGGGCAGCCGAGCCCCTCCACCCGCCCAGCGGCCACGGTGGCCCGCGGACTACCGCCGCCTTCCGCTCACCTTCCTGCCGGCCGGATCTCTCTCCCCTACTCGTTGCAGCGGCGCGGGCGCCGTTGAGCGTCCAGCGGTGAGCTCAGTGAGCGCCGAGCCGTACCGCACCGTGCCCCGCGCCGCTCCGCACGGAGCCCCCGCGGCGGCGGCCGCCGCGCTGCCAGCGCCGAGGCGTGAGGGCGGCCCCACGTGCGTCCGTTGCACCAATCGGCTCCGCCCGCCACCGTCCCGGGCCGCCCGCAAACCGGGCGCGGTGGCGGCCCCCGGCCGGGCGCTGGTTTGGGAAGTAGGGGAAAGCGAAACGCTGGGCCGGGAGTTTTGGATCTCCGGACGGGAGGGAACAAAGGAACCCTGGGCAGAGAGCGTCCCAAGGCGGCTTCAGGCCCCGAGCCAGGGCTGAGGGAGTTGAAACGGACAAGGCTCTGAAGTGGAGCGCGTTTATAAAGCAGCCCTTCAGTTTGCAGAGAAGAACTAAAAAGCGTTCGCGGCTTGCCAAAGAATAGCAGCAGTGTAGGAGTGGCTCTAGCTTTTCTAAATGGTCCAAAGATAGAACAGCACTACAGCAGCGAAGGGAGCCTCATGCCAGGAGAGCAAGAGCAGCTGGTGCAGCTCGGGACTTCTTGAAAGGCGCAACCATCGCGTTTCATTAAGCATCAGACTTCAGTTAAATTGTAACAGCACGCAAAGAGTGCAACTGGAAACAAATGTTGCCCCTGTACTCTGCTCCTGACTTGAGGTGTCCAGTCTCCACGTCACACTTCCGGCACCACTGCGCTCACTGTGGCCGCGCTTAACAACAATTTAGGATGAAAACAAACACTCTAAACATACCATATATTTTTTTGTACCATAGTTTAATATTATTTATAACTTTGCATTGTTGTATGATTGTTAACAGGAACTGTGATCAGTTTCTGTTATTTACTCACGTTGCACTGTAGGTTGGTGAGTTGCTGTGTGTGCATTTTGTTCCCATCATTCCGTCTACTAGTTACTGGTGTGGCGTAGTGATAGTTGTTCCCAGTGGCCTCAGTTTCTCAGTCAATTACTGTCTATCGTACTACTACTCCTGCAGGCTGCTCATGAAATGTGCTCTCAACTCCACCAAGTGACTCACCTTAATTCCAATGGATTTTTGCACAGCTGTCGTAGAAACAGGCTGATCAACTTTTGTTGTAGGCAGCAGCCTCCCACAAATGCTTTAGTGCCTCCCATCCTACTTGAAAATATTTTCAGCCTCCAGTGTCCTCTTTTTTTCTATCATTTGAGTGTATTTTTCCAAAAAAGACAGCTTCCTTTCTAGTGTGATCCTTGTTACCCATTGTATCTCCAGCACTATGGGCTTGTACCCAGGTGCCCAGACATGAGAAGTAGGGAACACAGGCCACAGCTCTGAGAGGCAATGCCACAAACAATGTCAGGTGGTAGCAAGGACAGTCAGATTGTTGTAGTGTTGAGTCCTTCAAAAAGCCCATGACTATCCTTTTTAGAAGGATAACCTAGGATTGCCCTGCTGTATTTTTTTATCTACTATGTAAATATTGAGTCTTCTGATCCACAGCTACACAGATCAGTGACACAGAAGTTGAGGAAGTCATTAAATTACTGCTTCCAAAAACCAACAAGAAAAAAGATGAATGTGCATTTGGGCACAATCAAAATGACACCTGGCAGCCCTTAAGTCTTTTATTTCTTTATTTATTTTTTGTTTACTTTCACTATTGTTTTCTGGTGGTTGTTCTCTTTTCCGTGTAGGTTCTCTGCAGGTAATGTGTTTCAAATTAGAAAGTTGAAGTCTAGGGTTGTTTTATTCTTTTGGGGTTTTTATTTTTTAGCAGGTACTCCAAACTTTCAAATGTTCCTCATTTTTGCTACCATCATCTTTTAGTCTGATGGTACTGATGGTATTTACTTTCAGTAAGTTAACTGCTACTAGTAATGCTAAATTATCTTGATAGACTTCAGGTTATGTTTAAGCATTTACAATGATATGTACTGCTCTTCTAAAAAATGCCTTCTTAAATGTCCTTGGGCCTTGTTGGATTGAAGTGTCATGCTTGTGCTCAGCCATTGTTCTGATCCTATATGAGGATAAATGTATTAGATAACACAGCAAACTAGTCCAACAGACTTCAACATTCATGCCATACAGGTATAGGGAAGTAAGTACTTTTTTCACACATAAGTAATATTAAACAACCCCAAAAATATCTCTCAGTGACCATACAAAATTGTTTGAGTGCCTTAGGGTTCTGACAAGTGATATCTAGTCGATGTAAATGAATACTTTGGGAGTTTAATGCCTACAGCACTATGCCAGACAGTGTTAGAGAGCTTACTGTCTTCATGGTCTTGCCTTTGTACCTCTCCTACATGAATCCTACACAAATTTCTATCTCTCCCACATAAAGTATGCTACCTTGGTACAAATTAACCTCACTTCTGTCCTAAACCACATCCTGGTGGATTTCTGGTTCTCCAAGACACATTCAAGTATTCAAACATAAATCTTAGCCTTTGTTTCAGGAGCAAATGAAGCTGTCGAAATGGTTTGTGCCCAAGATAAGAAATATTCTTAAAATTAAATTTCAGATAATAAACTACTTCCCTGAAACATGACCTCTAAATTTAGGACAATTAAGTATCATGTAGGCCTGGAAACAGGAAATCTATTAAAGCTGTGCAGCTGAGCCACTGGAATGCATAGGACTGTCACTGATGAGTAGCTAGATAAAGGAGTGATGATCAAGATGTCAGTAGTCCATCAGGGAGTTGAAAGAGGACTGTACAAGACACCTTGTAGTACTATGTGGGAAACTGAGCAGGCTGCAAGTACTCAAACATAACATTTAAAGATAGGTAGAATAATCTGAATAAATACTGCTGCAAACAAGTAATGGTGTTCAAGTGGTGCTTAACAAAAACAATTTTGCTATAACTTGCTACACAGAAGTAATAGAAATTACTAATATTTGCAAGAAAAGCAGTTTCTTCACTGCTATCCTCTGATGTTTATTCATTTCCTGTTTAGATTAAAACTAATATCCTTAGCTTCAAGCTCAAGTCTTACTTAGTTCATCTCCAATTAAAAATTACAGTGTTTAATTAAGAATAAATCCAAAATAAGCATCTATTAATTCAAATCTAATTAAGATACTAGTAATTTATATAGAGAGAGTCGTGTGTGTGTGCATGTAAAAGCAGAGTCTCAAGGTATTAGTACAGATTAGGACTATCTACTTCCTCAGATAAAGGCACTAGAATTTGTTATCACAGGGTGTACATGTACCGCTTTAAAAACAGCTTTGTGAAAATGAGATGAAGAACTGTCTTTCATGACCAGTGGCACCTCAGGAAGCTTTCAGACTTATAGCAAATCAGTAGGGAGCATGAGTGAACTTTGGAAAGTGGAGATCTTGGAACAGTCGTGACATTTTCTTAACATTCCCAACAAGATGCACTTTAATACTAAAAATTAAACAAATAATGTGGGTTTGGCAGCATTAAGAGATATAAAAGTGCTTGCTTGTAGGATTGGAAGGCCTTAGCATTTTATTAGGTCTGATTGGCTTAGCCTCTAATTGCAGGCTTCTTTTGAGCAGCAGATAAGATCTATGTGTAATGGTTATGATTACTAGAGGAGTGCACAGCACATGGCCATGACTCCACATGCTGGCTGGCCTAACAGCATGCATGACTTGACCACAGACATCCTGCTGTGATTTGTAATACAGTAAGGGGAATGCAATAGAAAATTATCTATAATTTGCATGACATGCCTTTCTACTTATCATCTCCAAGTAGTTAGTATCATTGCTGTGTGGAAAATAGTGCTAAAGGTCATTGGTATGAATATGAAATTTAAGGAGTTTAGAAAATAAGAAATATTCTTTCCTAATATTTATTTAAAAGTATGTACAGATGTAGGGTTTTTTTATGGTAAAGTGGAATAAAAACAGACACAAATGGATAATTTACTGCAATAGTTGAACAAAGCACTTGGGGATTATTTCATTGGCTGTGTACAAATACAATTACGTTCCTTTCTTAGAAAGAGCTTTCTTATTCAGTTCAACTTCTTGCTCTGAATGAAATAAATTCAATTTTTTTTTTTTGTAAATTTTGCTTCTCCCAGAAAGCCAAGTAATGTATTTTTCATCATTGCATTGATGGTAGGCCTTGATATTGTTTAAAGCAGAAACAATTATATTGTTTCATATTTAAAATATAAAATGTACATGAAATGTTTTCTCCCAGTTAAAGATTATATTTGAAGCATCTTAATAATAATGATGAGGAGGAGATGATATAAATACAGTTTAGACAGGCAGACAATTTTTGAAAACTGCATGCTTTCCAACTACATTATCTCTCTTTGACCCATATAGCCTATAAGGAGAAACAGGGCTTGATCCTTAGTTAAGAGGAAAACCATGGAGTTCAGTCAGCTCGCACACTGGAGATGTCTTGGACCTGACTGTACCTTTCTATTTACAACCTGAATAGCTTAGGCAAAGAGTTAAGGTAAATGTCACCTATATGTACTTCAGCATCTAGATAAGCTGTGTAAAATCATTATTCATTGACACCCTCTTGTCTTAGCGAAAAAAAAGTTTTAGATATTTGCTGTATTAGCTTTTGCATCTAAAAGTAGCCCCACCATCCCACCTTAGGTAAAAGAAAACTGCCCCTCTTATGCAACTCTTGGCTATTAAAGTTTGGTCCCCACCAAGGGGAGTAGATGAAAGTAGTCAGGCAAAAAACTCCCAAAATAGAAAGAATGGTTGAGGAAGAGAAAGATATGCTCTTGCTAATATCCAAATTCTAATTTTAAAATTTAGTATTATGTGAGTAAGCATATCACTGCAGCTAGCTTCCATTTGTCTAGCTCATCATCAGTGTCAATGATAAATATTCTGCAAGGTATACTGGCCTTGCTCTGAATGGTGTACTTTCACTTCACTGGGTTCTTGTAGCTAGCCAGTTACGGTGAGATTACTTATCTTTGCATCTAACAGTCTTCCTCAAACTTTCTATTAATTTTCCTTTAATGAAGTAAAAGTTTTCTTTGTATAGCAGTGAAAAATATTTCTAAGATTTGAAAAAATATATTTTGTTGTTCAGCCAAAACTTTTTATAAATACATTAC